AGACCGTTTGATATATACCGAGTATTTATACGTTTTTAACCCAAATGACCCATGTTGTTTTCAGAGTATGTCACAGCAGCGTCCATCTGTTATTTTAATAAGCAAAACTTGCGAGTCTTGAATGCGCACCCGTCTACAAAAACAGACTGTTCTGCAGAGAGGCTCAAAAACAGAATAGACATAGCCTGTTACTTCTAAATTATGTTTTTTTAAATGTAAAATCACACTAACATTATGGGCCCTATCATACACCCGGCGCAATGCAGCGCAAGGCGCGGCGAAAGTGTTTTTGCTAGTTTCAGTCCGCCGCGGTTCTCATTTTCCCATCCTGCGCTGCGTTGTTTATTAAATAGCAAATGCATTTGCGCCCATGTGCGTGCTGGTCAAAAAAAAAAAAAGAGGTGTGTTCAGGCGCATTGTTGGCGCGTCGCTATTTTGAGGAACAGAAAATAGGCTGCGCCATAGACCAACTCAAACCTAGTCTAAAGTCTGGTGCAATATTTTTTCTTTGTTATTTAAAGAGCGCGTTAGTAATATGCACCTATAGGCGGATGCACAACGCGCGTACACTTTTGCTTATTACACACACAGGGACGCGCAGCAGCACACAAACATTTTTAAATATGAAAAATTACATTCCGCCATGTAAATAGCGAATCTATGAAAAATTACATTCCGCCATGTAAATAGCGAATCCGCCATGGCGCGAGCGCAACTGGCTTTTAAAGGGGATGGGAGATGAGACTCTGATTGGTTTATTGCACGTTACGCCCAAAAAACACCCATTACTCATTAAGAGAATAGGGACAACCCGTTTAGACCATGCGCGCCGACCGTTTTCCCGTCGTTAAACTAGCAAAAGTGGATTCGGACACGCCCTGAGTGCACCTGCGTCGTGCCCTTTAGACCATGCGCTTAGATCGTTAAAATAGGGCCCCATATTTACCTTGATTTTTATTTTTTTTTCTTTGCACATCACATGATTCATATTTACTTATCAAATTCTTCACTAACTCTATTTTCTACTTTGTAACTAAGTACAGTAACTTGAAAAAAAAAATCAGGGCAAAATCATATATAGTTTTAAACAAGTAATTATTCATATGTGTATTAATACTGAATATTGCATAATTATGCAATATTCAGAATATTAATATGAAATATTGCATTTCATATTGATAGATTTTCATATTTTAGGATTAAAGGTGGGACAAGGGTAAAACAATATAGATAAAACAAGAAAAATAATCTCTATATTTTGAAATTTGAAGTGGCAAAAATAAATAATGAATGCATGGTAAAAAGTTTCCAAGTGAGTTTCATATTTAAATATATATAAAATATTAAACCTCAGGATGATATAAATGTAAAAAATGTCCATAATTGAAGAAACTGCCCCGTGGTGTCTGTTGTCTATCTATGTTTTGATGCGTTTACGGTAAACTATCCTCCTATATCTGTTAGGGCTGTCAAAAAAAATGTGAATTTAAAATATTTGTCTTCAGAAGACAAGCCAAAAGCTTTTCTTCACCCTAACTGAAATTATGAATTTTAAATTAGAATATAATTCGAGTTTTGATAATATTTAAGTACAAAATTAGAATTTAGTTTTTCAGCCATTTTGACAGCCCTAATATCTGTAGCAAAAGTATCTTACCAGTCTCCACAGCTTCTTTCATGTAGACAGCACAGTATGGATTGAGTACTTCTTCATGGTAGGCAAGCCCTGGGTCCATCTCAAAACTCGAAAAACCTATCCTCAGGAACGGAGACATGACTGTAAACTCTCAGATCCAACAGCAATAGCCTCTGATATACAGTTTTCCTCGAAAGCACGGTGGTTAATTCCACTGTAAGGATCTGTACAGTGATGTACTCCTATTTGATGTTTATTTTCATATTTGTCATGTCCGATATATGGGTTTCGAAACTCAGATGGCTCAATCGTGGTGTCCTTCACTCTGTGGCATCCAAAGTAATATTTTTCAAAATAAGTGTTTAACTTTGTCCTTTGTCCACCAGATCTGTCCTCTCTTATAGCCACTGTTTTAGAAGAAATGATACTGGGATGAAAACCTGGAACAGTCTACAAAAGCAGAATAAAATATAATAAATTCTAGTAGTAAAGTACAATAATGAAGTCAAATTAAAAACAGTAAATAATAAAATTACAAATTTAAATTAAATGCATATTAGTAAATAGTCAGTATTTTTTTTAGCAGATTTGTAACAAAATTAAAAATAAGTTCATTGCACTTTCTGACAACTTCAAATTTAATACTGATGAAGAAAATCAAGTTTTGTAAAATGACAGAAATTAATAAGTTAACTTTGTTCCTCAAATAAATAAGAAAAAAAAATCACTGAGAGCACTATAAGTTTAATTAATAACATATCTGATGAGTAGCCTAACAGATCATTAGTACATTCAGCATTTCAATGGTTAAAAATGTCTTTGATTATGAGAGTCTTATACTATTCATAATATACAACTCTGATCTGTTCATCATTATATAATAATGAAGTCACATAATCAGTAATAATCAATATGATTAATAATCAATAATAATCTCTCCTTTAGCCATTTACTAAAACCCAGAGTAAAAAAAAAAAAAAAAGAAGCCATCAGCAACGCGGTTGTCTAATGGAAACACAGCTGAGTACATGCTTTAACTTCTTTCCATACTACACATGCCCTTTAATTTAACAACACCAGTTCACACCAACCACGTTTCAATGAACCAATAACACTTAACATGTCATAAACTAAGCAGAAAACACACTGACTTGTTAAACAGTTGGACCACAGAACCATAGTAAACACTTACAGAGTGTTAAGAGTTATTGCCAGTTGAAAGCCGTAAGGTAACTGGTGAAGGGAGAGAACCAGAGAAAGAACTATTAATAGATGTGAAATACTAAACTCCCATCCAAACAGCCTGCCAGGATTCACTTCCCTGCGGAGTCACAGCCAAACATACAGCACTAACACGCACATCATGGTCACACTTATACTTGATGTGTATGTTATGGTGCACGATATTCATGTATGTATATATATATATATCTATATATATATATATATATATATATATATATAATAAACAGATGTTTTGTTTTTTTTGCAAGAAAATGTGAGTGGCATTAACTCGCCACCACAATATTGGAGGTGGCATAACACACTAAGAAATACAGTTAAAAACTGTTAAAGAAATATTCTGGTTAAGCTCAAACAACAGCATTTGTGGCATAAAGTTAATTACCACGTTAAATAATTTTGATTTCATCCTCAAATCAAAGTTACAATGCAAGTGAATGGGGACAATATTGGAAGTTTTCAAAAACATAAATGTGAAAACTTAAAATTTTAGGGTAACACTTCACAATAAGGTTCTGTATTAATCTGTATTAACATGAACGAACAATGAACAATACATCTTTGTTAATGTTAGTTCATGAAAATCCAGTTGTTGATTGTAAGTTCATGTTAATTCACAGTGCATTAACTAATGTTAACAAGCACAGCTTTCGATTTTAATAATGCATTAGTAAATGTTGAAATTAACATCAATTAAGATTAATAATGCTGTAGAAGTATTGTTCATTCTTAGTGCATGTTAAATAAAGTAGTTAACTAATGCTAACTAATGCATTTTATTGTAAAGTGTTACCAATTTTAGTAAAGCACTTCTGTTTAAACCTAGTAAGATGGTGTGTAGATGTAAATTCCTTATTTTCGTTTTTTACCGTTACATTTTCTTGGCAACAAAGTCATAAAATTAAAGATAACTTTACACAGAATAGGTTAGTAAGCCTTTTTAACCACACTAAAATCATGTACACAAAACATTTACATCTTGTAGCTATACTTTTAAAAAAAGTGAGTATTTGAATGTTATTTCCATTGTAAGTGTCTCACAGATTTTTACCTAAAAAAGGGGAAAAAAAAAATATTTACTTGGTAATCAACATTACTAGATGGTTGCAAGGGTGTTGCTAAGAGTCTCAAGTTTTCAGCTGTTCTATCATATCATGATGTAAGAATTGTAAGTGATAAACAGAAGATGATTTTAGATGGTATAGAAAAAGCATATACTAATATTTAATGTGTAAGCAGCGAGAGAAAGAGGGAGAAAAACAAAAAACAAACAAAACTAACACTAATTTGTACACATGCATATATATATATATATATATATATATAAATTAAACTCCATGTTGTTAAGTGCTTCTGACTGTTATTTCAGTATAACAATATGTATAACATATTTTCTTTAGCTTAAGTTTCTCAAAACACCGGCTTAAAAACTCTCTTTCTTGCTCTGTAAATGTGTCTGTATGACTGCCAAGTACTTCCTGTCGTTTGACTGACAGCTCAAACCGCACTTCCTGCATCATTGAAGGACTGTCGCGCAGATAGCGAGCTGCTGCTCTTACCTGCTTCTGCTACCAGGATAGACAGAAGAGAGACAAACAACAGCAGACGGATAGAAAGAACACAGCAGGACACAGACAGATTCTTTAATGTCATAACTTTAGAGTAAGTCTTTACTGGCTCTATGAATGTGATATTTCATCAAACAGTGTGTGGGGTCAATACTGACTCCAGGGTGGACATAGTTGAACTATCCCAGCATGTGAAAGCTGCAGGGGTGGAAGAAGTGTGGGATCAAACGACAAACGCCTCCATTGAACTCACATACACCGGACTGGATGGAACTACAAATACATCTGACCTTTCGCAAACCACTCGGGAGCTTAAACTCATAAGGCGTGTTCAATTAATATTCCATAATCAATACTTAAAACTCTGTGGCTCAGTTTCCACAGAAAATCAATCTCAACTCTCAGTTCATAAAAACAAAACATTTTTACATGAACCCACATACAATGTCGGTAGGCAAGCACGTTGAAGTGTTTATAAGCAGAAGCATAAAGATTGTATTTTTTAAAGCACTTGTAATAATTCTTCTGTACAAAAAAAAGTGTTATTTGAGATGTCATCTAAATTGTCTTTTTGAGATGGGACTACTTTTCTTCACTCCATGTGAACAGTTTGAAGATAGTTCCGTCACATCCCTTTCTGGCGTGTTTTAATGTTGCATAATTTGCACTGATACCATACATACTCGTTTATTATGAATAAATCTTTTAACTTGCATTAATAAAGTTCCAAATCCAAAATAGGAAAGTACCTTTCATTTGTTTTGATATTTAATTAAAATATAGCACACTATTTTATATATATACATATATATATATATATATATATATACACATACAGTATAGCGCCTATGAGATTTATATGATTTTAAGAAATTAACAATAAAATTAATTTTATTCACATTAAATTGATCAAAAGTGGCAGTAAATACATTTACAAAAGATTTTTATATATATAAAAAAAAATGCATCAAAGATTCTTTAAAAAAAAGGTCTGTTCCAAGATTAATGTTAAGCAGCACAACTGTGTTCAACATTTATAATAATTAGAAAGGTTTCTTCAACACCAAAATCAGCATATTAGAATGATTTCGGAAGGATCACGTGACAATGAAGACTGGAGTCAATTATAATAATACATTTTAAATTGTAATTATTATTTTTACTGTGTTTTTGATCAAATAAATGCAGCCCTAGTGAACATAAGAGACTTCTATATAAAAATAAAAACGGACTTTTGAACGTTAGTGTAGACCTAAATTAAAAATAAATTAAGATATTATGGAATATACTGTATAAATAGGCTAAACATTGTGGCTACTCACTCCAGAACTTGGACTGACAACAATATCTAATGACAAATAATGTGAGTCAAGTTTTAACAGCTCTAAATTCAAAAACAGAACTACAGTGTTGTGCATTTCTATCTGAGCGGTAAAGGCAAAACACATACATTTTTTATAAACAAATAGGAGAAAAGGTGATTTTTACAATCAAGGTTTTAGCACTATGAGAGTGCGCTAAAAATCAGATCTACTTGGTATCTCATCCTACGCCACTGTTCCATTTAAACCAGTGGTCGCCAACCCGTCGATCGCGATCGACTGGAAGATATTATGGAATATACTGTATAAATAGGCTAAACATTTTCAGTGGCTACTCCAGAACTTGGACTGACAACAATATCTAATGACAAATAATGTGAGTCAAGTTTTAACAGCTCTAAATTCAAAAACAGAACTACAGTGTTGTGCATTTCTATCTGAGCGGTAAAGGCAAAACACATACATTTTTTATAAACAAATAGGAGAAAAGGTGATTTTTACAATCAAGGTTTTAGCACTATGAGAGTGCGCTAAAAATCAGATCTACTTGGTATCTCATCCTACGCCACTGTGTCAGGGATCTTGGACCTAAAAAGGTTGGTGACCACTGATTTAAACCCTACATTTTAAAGTAACTACTGAAAGGACCAAAGACATGCAGAACATGCAGAGCATTCACAAGATTGATTTCAAAGCCTGCTAGGCAAAACACCCTTTTCATTCAAACCAATTATGCTTACAGCTGCTTTTATTCAGTTATTGATGCTGGTATTGAGTTATTGAGCTATTCTTGCACATTTTGGTTCATCATAGTATTTTTAACCCATGGTTTTCTGCCACAAGCCTGTTGAAATAACATGACATAATCCACAAACCATCATCTGTGTTATCCTTTGTAAAGAAGTCAACATATAACCACTGAGCAATACAACTTTCACCCACATTTAGTTTATAAATCTTAGATTAACATTGATAATGATAGGAATTATCAGATAAACGTTGCAGTTTGATAGTTAGCTTTAGATTAAGGCTATTTCAGATACAGTAAAATACACAGCTGAGTATATTATAAAATGGAGCATAGGAAAACCCATAAATATTCTGGTTCAAATGTCTTAGAAACAGTTGCAGTAAACCGTTTGAACTTAAATCACATAACACTGACATTTGTGCTCTTGGTTCAAATGTGGTTGGAAATTGCAGTCTGATGCGAGTAAGATGTTCCAGTGGCCGACATTTGCAGTTCCTCTAATTCACACATATCATACCACAGAAGGTAGTATGTTCATATCTTTCATGTTATTTGATAGTTTTGTTTTTCTGGATCGCCCCTGTTTACAAATATGGATATCATGTAAACTTGTCTTCATAATTCTTCAGAAAAGGTGATTCTTTGGCAATAACGGTGTGATTTACAAGCAGGTTTTGTCAAATTATTGTCAGAAAGAGCTCAGATGGGACGTTTTTGCTATGATGCATAATGTCAGCATCAGTAAGTAACATTAGTAAACAATAAAAATGCCTTTCAAAGAAGCAAAAGTTCAAAAGATATATCCAACAATCAAGTTAAATCTCTTTCATATCTCCGTTGTTTCTCTTATATTTAAATGAGATTAAATAGAGAGCAGGCTAGACTTTTCTATACTGTTGAAAAGACCCTATAATCTCACATTTAGCTCAAATTTGCCAAAATACCAAAATCAACTATCAAAATTCACAAATCGCAACATTTCTTATCAACTTGTATAACTGTACTGTTACTGTCAACTGATTTCATCAAATTTGAGGAGAAACATCTCAGTCAACCTTGATACTTTATATAATTTAAACATACCGTAACTGAGACCTCTATTAAGCTTTGAAAGAGCAACATTTGAGATATTAATATCACCTACAAAAGGGCTGCATTCACCTCTGTGGGAAGAATTTAATGCATCTTAGGTAAGGCTAAAGCCATAACAGTTCAGCAGGTATAAACTGACTTACAATAGACCAATTAATGCTCAAAAAAGTGCTCAAATACTGGATAAACAAGCTCTAAATCCTTCTCTAAACCAAAAATCCAGGCATATGCTCCGAACTGCAACAAAAGCTTGTGATTCACAGCTTTTGCCACACTTGTGTGGGCACTGTAAGACAACATAAAAGTGAAAACATGTTTTCTTCTTATAACTGAAATCTTCTTGATACATCCCACACATGGTGCTTTCTTTAAAAGATCACCTTGTTTTTAGAAGAGCAGGTTCTCAAATGCAAAGTTTATGTATACACTGTTTTCTTCTACGTTTTTGTGGTTTCCTGCAACTGACACACTAACAGCTATGGCAAAGTCAACTGGATAATAAGGCTGCAGAATGTATGCGATGATGAACATCTTATTAGTGAATTTCTAGGCAGTCAACAACAGTTACATCAGCAGCACGGAGAGTCAGGCTGTCTCTTAATATCCTCGGAAATTCTATTTATAGGGTACGTATTCATTATTTGAGTTAAACTAAGCTTAAATTTAACTTGAAGGTTCATGCATAACGTACAGAGTATGGAAACAGCACTTACCCAGTAGGCTCCAGCTCAAATCAACGCAGCTCTTCAATGCAGTGCTCTGAAAGAACGCCTGCTTTTAGAACTTCTCTAGACCTTCAGGTTGCGAGCACGTCACGCGCGCGTTCCACACCTCTCATCACACACTAAAGGAAGCAGATATAGAAATGCTGTGCGGTTTGCAGGATTGCACACTGTTAGCTGCAAAAATATAGGTCATTGACTTTTATTGTAATGCATTGCTCAAAGGTAGTATGTTTCAATTTTATGTAATTAAAGGCAGGGTATGTGATTTTTCAAAAACACTTTAGAAAACTGATTCGGGCCGAATCGCAAAACAAACTTGTAGCCAATCAGCAATAAGGGATGTGGGGCAGAGCTATCAAAATAGGGGCAAGACCCTTTTGGGGTAGGGGCGTGTTTGTTTTGGTGATTTCAATATCAACATTGGCTACCAGAAATCGCTTACTCTGCCTTTAAATCAAGTGATTTTTGTCGTAGCCTATGGATCCACTCGGTATTGCATAAAATTGTTCTGTAGGCTGTTTTATTTACATTTACATTTTAGTCATTTAGCAGACGCTTTTATCCAAAGCGACTTACAAACGAGGACAATAAAAGCAGTCACAACTAACAAAAGAGCAACAATATATAAATGCAAATGACAAGTCTCGGTTAGCCTAACGCAGTACACGTAGCAAGGTGTATATATATATATATATATATATATTACACATATACACACACATACACAAAGAAAATATAATAAGTATAAGTATATAGAATAGAAAAAATAGAAAGCTAGTGTTTGTTTGTTTTTTGTTGTTGTTTTAAATACAAAAAAGATAAATATAGATAAAGTAGAATTAAAATAGAATATAAAGTGTTAGAGTTAGAGGGTCAAATAAAGGTGGAACAGATAGATTTAATCTATCTATCTATCTATCTATCTATCTATCTATCTATCTATCTATCTTTATTTATTTATTTATTTATTTTTAAGCAGGGTAGTGTTAACAAATTGTACAATGTTACATTTGTCTGTTAATATTTCCGCAAACAAAGTCGTGCTTTCTAACGATGTCTAACGATACCCGAATCATATTTTTTGAGTCAATCTTTTTAATGAATGAGTCAAACGGTTCAGTAAAACGGGTTGACATTCGAACGGCTCACCCACAAAGGGAATCGTTTGGATGTTAAATTATTTATATCCACTGGTATAAGACGTTGCAAAAATGATTAAAAAAAATACAGATGAATTTTACAGAAATATGACAGACCCGTTTTGATTGACACAGACACTGGCAATAGTTGTTCTATTTCGGAGACTTAAAAAAAAAAGTCTAATAACGTGTATTAGATTAAATTGCAGCTGACTATTTTTTAATATTTCATGCATATTTTTAACAACACTGCTTTTTTTCCAAGTAGGAAGGTTTATCGGGCGCAAAACATTATGATGTCAATTAAACTGTCAGAATAAGTCCTCCATACATAAATGTACACTTTAGGTTGGCGAATTGAGTGGGTGGTTCTTTGAAACCAAACGTTTCGAAAATAAATCAGACTGTTTTGCCAGCAGGCGGCGCTAAATCATAAAAAGCGACACCTCAAAGCGATATCCTCAAAAAGACAGATAGCCTAAATGTAAACAATTTCTCTTTCTGAAAGTGTGCACCGATCTGAAAATATTTATTTAGATTTTATTGTAGCTACTTATTGAATATTGATGGATCAACATGAGTGAAATCAATGATAAAAAATATAGATATGGGCAATAGTGGTATGGCACAATTTATCAACGTCCAAATACTTTCTGAGAAATATTTAAGTATATACTTATTCAAAATAACCATGTCAGCAAATAGTGTACCAGTCTTTTGTTATTTTAGTCGCTTTAGCTTCTTTCTTTCTTTCTTTCTTTCAAATTACATTATTTAATATTTGTGACAACATTCTACAAAAGCCAACAGATAAATCAGCTCTGTATCATCATGGTGGGTAAATACAGTGTATTGCTTATAATGTGTAAACATATATTAAAGTAGGCATATGTTATAAACAGCTAATTAACAACCAGTTAAGCACCTACAGATGGAGGATTGATTTGTGGTGCATTTTTTTGTGGTATACACGGATGAAAATTGAAAAGGTTTATTTTTTCACTCTTTGTTTTGGGAAAGTAAGTGAGTGTGGCATTAAAGAGGTGTAAGATGAAGTGAGGGGTGGGATAGGGAGGTGGTAATATGGGGGATGGGACAGAGAGTAAGAGAATTGTAATTGTTGCGTTGCATCAGGGAACGTGCCTTCACTCTATATATCTGTTGCTATGGAAACCCGTGAGGGAGCTGGCGGATGTCTGGGAGACCCCCAGCAAAAGTCCCCCACACTCTTTCACACACACACACACACACACACACACACACACAGAGAGACAGAAAGAAATCCTGTGTGGTTGTGGGTATGTCAGAATAAATTTAATTTTAATTAATTGAATGGAATCCAAAGCTTTGCAAAGAAGAGACTGTTGTGTCTGTTATTTAGATTTATGATAAAATCCAATGGACTGCCAAAAGCCCCACTTAATCTCAGTGTGTAGCTAATTAATAAAAGCTCTAGGGAAAATAATTCATCTACTCATTTTATTTTATCTAATGAGATTGTAATTGTGATTTATACCAATTAATATGACTGAATGAAATACTGACTGTAGAATATGACTGTTAAAGACGATAATGATTGAGATGACTGACATTTTGATTGCTAACATCATATTTTTTTCTTATTTACTCATCTAGACATACCAGATCAATTTTCAAAGTCTAACTACTTACACTGCTAATTATACTGCATCGATACTTACATTCATATTTCATAAATTGAAAAATATACATGACTTATATGTATACATTACTTATAAAATTCCTAATTCCAAAGTATACTCTTTATTTAAAAACAAAAACAAACATATTTACTATAACTGTACTTCACATAATTCTCACACTTCAATGTTCCACTCTATTTTACACATTTGAATATTAGAAAATATTTTAATATCTATGGTAAAGTACTGTACTGTGTATTTTGTCATTTTTACTGTAATTTAACATACAGGAAAATTGTGAAATTCGATAACAAAATACTACTGTAAAGCAAGATAATAATTTAATATAATACAATATAAATTATAAATAAAAACATTTATATATACATCATATAGAAATCTAGAAAACAAATGTGTAGATCATAAATGAACCATTCCTGTTTATGCTTAAGGGGAATGATAAGTAAACACTTTCTCTATTATTGCTTCTGTTAGTGTTATTTTTACAGGAAATATGAATGAAAATGAATTTCTCCATCTCTGTTTAAGCAGCTTGCATGCTGAGATTGTACTGAGTCATTCACAGTGAATACAAATGAAAGAACAACACACACACACACACACACACACACACACACAAACAAACACTCACACAGATTGCTGAAATGCACCATGCAGTGAAATATCCAGCCGTGTGACTGAATTGGCTGTTGAGGGAAACTGTGGAAAACTTTTTATTTGGAACAATATTCATAATGCCAGTGATACTTTAAGACATTTTGCAGGAAAACAGAAAAAAACTAAATACTGTGGTTCATCCTGATCATCTTGTGCGTGAGTGGCATGAATTTGTTTTCACTTTTACAGCACTTTTCCAAAACACCCCTCCATGACTGTCGCAGACAGGAAATGATGCGTTGTGCTTTGTACAGATTGAGACTGTGTCACTGAATATGACAAACAAGCAGAAACATACAAATCAGTTCCCCCACACTCTTTCACACACACACACACACACACACACACACACAGAGAGACAGAAAGAAATCCTGTGTGGTTGTGGGTATGTCAGAATAAATTTAATTTTAATTAATTGAATGGAATCCAAAGCTTTGCAAAGAAGAGACTGTTGTGTCTGTTATTTAGATTTATGATAAAATCCAATGGACTGCCAAAAGCCCCACTTAATCTCAGTGTGTAGCTAATTAATAAAAGCTCTAGGGAAAATAATTCATCTACTCATTTTATTTTATCTAATGAGATTGTAATTGTGATTTATACCAATTAATATGACTGAATGAAATACTGACTGTAGAATATGACTGTTAAAGACGATAATGATTGAGATGACTGACATTTTGATTGCTAACATCATATTTTTTTCTTATTTACTCATCTAGACATACCAGATCAATTTTCAAAGTCTAACTACTTACACTGCTAATTATACTGCATCGATACTTACATTCATATTTCATAAATTGAAAAATATACATGACTTATATGTATACATTACTTATAAAATTCCTAATTCCAAAGTATACTCTTTATTTAAAAACAAAAACAAACATATTTACTATAACTGTACTTCACATAATTCTCACACTTCAATGTTCCACTCTATTTTACACATTTGAATATTAGAAAATATTTAAATATCTATGGTAAAGTACTGTACTGTGTATTTTGTCATTTTTACTGTAATTTAACATACAGGAAAATTGTGAAATTCGATAACAAAATACTACTGTAAAGCAAGATAATAATTTAATATAATACAATATAAATTATAAATAAAAACATTTATATATACATCATATAGAAATCTAGAAAACAAATGTGTAGATCATAAATGAACCATTCCTGTTTATGCTTAAGGGGAATGATAAGTAAACACTTTCTCTATTATTGCTTCTGTTAGTGTTATTTTTACAGGAAATATGAATGAAAATGAATTTCTCCATCTCTGTTTAAGCAGCTTGCATGCTGAGATTGTACTGAGTCATTCACAGTGAATACAAATGAAAGAACAACACACACACACACACACACACACACACACAAACAAACACTCACACAGATTGCTGAAATGCACCATGCAGTGAAATATCCAGCCGTGTGACTGAATTGGCTGTTGAGGGAAACTGTGGAAAACTTTTTATTTGGAACAATATTCATAATGCCAGTGATACTTTAAGACATTTTGCAGGAAAACAGAAAAAAACTAAATACTGTGGTTCATCCTGATCATCTTGTGCGTGAGTGGCATGAATTTGT